GAATCGTTTGTGTATCTACTTATATGTATATATATATATATATATATATATATATATATATATATATATATATATATATATATATATATATATATTTTATATATATATATATATATATATATATATATATATATATATATATATATATATGTATATATATATATATATATTTATATATATATATATATATATATATATATATATATATATATATATATATATATATATATATATATAATTTGTTAACAAGCAATGCAGTTTGTCACGTTATGACATAGATTCTTTGTTGATTATATGACTTCGATAATATATGGAAGTAAACTGAAAAAAACAATTGAAGATGAATGCGAGGATGTACACTAAAAGACCAGTTTGTCACGTGTGTGTCGGCGCCTGACACTTAGGAAAGGCTCTATAGTCTTTTAACAGCAGATTGTAATAGATGTGGTTATGTAAAAGTTCCAGTGTTTTGTTTTGTTATTGCAGATTTTCGACTATTCTAAAGTTCGCTGAAAGTCTTTCCCTACTAATGGTTATATCATGACTGACATGTGGTTTATAAATGGTGCTGCAGGAGAGCTTCTGAGCGCAGTGTTTCTCCCTGTCGAGAGAAGCTTTCAAGAGTCATTGGCAGCTGAGCACCTTCATTCCATTCAACTTGGACTCTTTAGAGGAAGTTTGTAAAATGTCTATTTCTTCTGTAATGGTGTGCTGTTAATACACTTCAAGACACCCCACACTAACAGGTGTCACGCGAATCCACGTCTGACAGTGACAGAGATGTTATGTTACTTAAGTACCCTTGTCCGTATCCATTGGAATAATACCTCTCCCGAGCCCGTGTTCTAATGTTGAATCTCAGGTGTGTCTTGTGATAGGTTACTCCCTATAGTGGTTTTCATCACTATGCCGTCGTGATTGTTTATGTAAGTTCGTTCACATATTTTACCAATATGTTGACTTGTATTCATTTTTCATAGCCTGTGATAAAAGACAATAACGATTATAATAAATTTTATGAAAGAAAATAATGTTTGAACGATGACCTTTGCAGAAGAACTTGTGTGTGGTGAATTTCAAAATGCTTTATGAAAAAAGGTTTTCCTTTTTTATTTAAGAATGATACAATAAATGCCAATATTTTCCATGATAATCACATTTGAAGAGCAGAATTCAACTTTTGGAAATGTAATGTTTGATTAAACCCGCAAACGGAATCATGAGTAGTAAACAGTATGTACTTGTCATAGAGGAAAAGTAAAAATATACAAGAGCATGTTTTTGCAACTTTCTAAACACTGTAATGCAGAACCTGACACGAACAAGCAACAGACTTTCATATCCGCTTTTCTGTACAGCGTTTTGGAAAATATCGCATATGCATGCTTTATGTGCGTAAACACACACATACATGTGTGTGTGTGTGTGTGTGAATGTGTGTGAAATAAACCTTGACGTGAACGAAACTTGTGGTGCGTGTTTTGTCTTGTGCTTTTGTACCACTTTTCTTCATGTCAGTATGGCTCAGGACTGTTGCTAAGGCCAATGAAATGAGATTATTAGATCGTGTGTTAGGAGCAACTGCCAACTTTATGTAAAACATACAATAGAGTCTAAGCAGTTTGAAGAGGGCGGTAAATCAGTGAGCAAAGTATTGATTTTCCATAATGCAAAAGAATAAAAAAAAGTTAATGATAAAAAAATCACTGACCTCATGAAAGAGGAGCCGAATGTTACTTATGTGAAATCTGCACAAAATCAGGTTAACCCGACGAAGAAGCAGGCTGTCTGAGGAAATCTAAAACGCAGAGTGGCAGTTTTCCATGAGAGGCAACTGTGAATCAATTGTGATCAAATCACACTTACCAAATACAATATTTAGGATTTGGGCCTTCAGAGACTTCAGATACTTCAAATGAGCAGATCTTATGAGCTTTAATATACTGAATGAAAGTTCCTATCATGCCATTTCAGGTTATGAGATAGATCACCATCGGGAAACATATGGAATTGAGTAATTATAGCATGTATTGTGCAAGTAAGCGTGATTCCCTTTGTGGAACATCATTAACACAATTCGCGACCGAGGGAAACACCTGTGTAAGCCGAGCCGTGAACAAAGGCCAGGCTGGACTCACCTTCGCGAAGCTCACTGGACTGAATTGAACGCCTCTGTCGGTATTCTGCACTAGAGGAATTTAGGAAAGAACTGCATGCCTCCTGTACGGCAACCCTCTTTTGGCCCATGATACTTGCAAATGCGAAAAGTGCGAGATCTTTCCAGGTACGTTAATTTGTTTTTAGATACTGGCGAACTGAAAGAGTGAGGTGACAAACTATAGTCCTCACTGTGAAGATTTACTCTCCGAGAAACAGACCTAATGCTGTTGATCGGAATCACACGAAACTAGAGTTTTCCTTAAATGATACTCATTGTGACAGAAATAACCAATAAATTAACTATTTAGATGATCTACTAAAACTCATTTTTCATCAGATG